ACGTACTCATTTTTTTATGTATGTATACACACATAACAGGCCAATTTACTGTAATAAGAATGAGAAAGTTTATCTGACCGTTTTCAAGAGGGGGAAAACCTTGAATTTTGAAGAACAAAGTCATTAGACACCTAGCTCAAAAGTCGAGAAAGGTCATTTCCCGTCATCTAGAAATCAAAATCTTCCCGGGGGAGGACCCCCGGATCCCCTTTCGTTTTTAGGAAAAATGTTGACCCTACCCCCTAGATTTGATTCCAGATCTGCATGATTCATATTCCCATTCATCTTATAAGTGCCCCCCACTTTGAAAAACGTTCCGCCGGCTCTGTCCATCTCAACTTCTTGGTGCAGAACAGGTTCTTTGAAGGGTCCTAGGTCGGCGGCATTAACTTCTAACTCGTCAGGTAATTGCTGAACGTTGTCATCAGCAGCACACTCGTTGCAACTCCATTCGATGTAAACCTCCCCTTTTACAGAATTGCCATCTCTCACACTCCTCACAAAACAGTGCTTCTTGATGTCGCGTCACAGTTTGCTGGCATTGGATACATGGATACATTTTGAAGATTTGATCGAAATGATGTCTTCTTGAAAAAAATCGTCATACTTTATAGGGAAGCAAGGGCGCAGGAAAGCGCGTGATTTTTTTTGCGTATATAATAGGTCTTTGTCTTTATTGACTGACAATAAAATAATGTTTGAAGATGCCGATGAACGCCGAGGTGTTACAGATAGGCGTTAATTGCGCTACATCATACAGTTACAGCAACACAATGCATCTTTATTTACATGCGTCGCTGCGATTTATTTTTATTTGGAAACATTTTATCAAATAAAATACCAACGCAAAGCAAACCAAATCCGCACATAAATTTCATATTCAGATTAAATTATTAGCAACTAAAAACCATGTATTAAAAAAAAAGATATCCACTGTCAGTAGGCCTACAGTATAGAATAAATAAATGACTTGTTGCAATTTAAAGTATTTAAAAAAAATGTATAGACCCTATATACGATTTATTTCTTTGGTTTATTGTAATTAATAACTTGATTGACTTTCACCTGTTTTATATCTTTATCATTTTATCAAAAATAGAAATGTATACCATGTTATTAGTAACATTTGTTAAGCATTTTTTTCAGTGTGTTGTAAAAGACACCTATCTGTATCATCATTAATAATAATAGTAATTAATAATAATAATAATAATGATAATAATGATAATAATAATAGTAATAATAATAAATTAATAATAATAATGACGATGTAGAGTATCACTAAGTGTAGACCTATGTTTTTCACGTTCATCACATTTTATTACATTGTAAATTTAGTATTGACAGATCCCATGTTTAAATCCGTTTGTGTCCTGAAAGAAATATAAAAATAAAAGTTCATTATACATAAAAATCCGAACTGATAACATACAATAAATATCAATTTAATCATATCATAATTCAGTTATGTCATGTACGTACAAAAATGTTTCCACCTGTAATCAATCTGTAAACAAATCGATTTTTAATCAACCAGGGCCAAGAAGTACTACGAGAAATAAAAAATATTCAATTTGTTATATAGTTTTTTAGTACAAGTCTGAAAATTATACATTTATTTCTCTTTATTTCGAAACACTTGTGACGGTTGTCTGATCAAATAAAACTGAGTGAAACATACTAGAATTGACGAGTACGATATGAACGCTATTGACCAACGCTATATCGTACCACAGAGCCATAGATAGAAAGAGTTGCGACATTGAGAATTTAGAAGCCATTTTGTGTCATACGCGATGCGCGTTCTGTGTCTAACGTGATGTGCGTTCCTGTGTATAATATTGTATAATACAGTTAGCGGCCTCCTGTATAGTTTGATTTCATTTAATCTTTTAATCGAATTTCATGTAACTATTTATAGATTTTTTTTTTATGATTTCATTACTTTATATCAAATTTCATATTATAAAATAATACTGTAATAATTTACTATTTTTAAGCAGTTCTTTAATCCTCGTCGATAGACCGAGGGAGCCCCTCGATGGCAAGCATTCTTTAATTAGGCAATCCTTGAGTAGCTCCTATTATTTTTGCAAATAAATGATATGTGACGACCAGCAAAATATCAAAATGTAATTTAAATCCGTCTAGCGTATATAGATTGTTGCTCTTTAAATTTGAATATGAGCGAGCCCTATACAAATCTTATGTTATTAATTTGATTATTATTATTTATAAATATTAAAATAGTAGGTCAGTTGGCCGCAATATATAAACTGTGCTTTGCTGTAAATGTTATAAATTGTAAGTGTTAAATGATATACAGGATCTGTGATATATTCAACTTGTGTAATTATGTAACGTACATTTTATTGTATTAAAAAAGTCTCGCCTCTATTTTAATATTGTATTATGACTGTACAGTATGTTACTTTTATAAACACACTGCGAGAGCGTGTCCGCTGTTTTAAAAGCGTCGTTTTCCAAAATAAAGTTATAATAATTATATAATAGTATGCAATAGAAACAGCAAATCATTTTTAAGATTATTAAACATCACCTTTATTTTCATTGTTATTCGTATTTATACAGGCTGTACAAAGATTTGAAATTAAGAACCATTTTCTAATATTGTTTAGCGAACAACCAACCATTAAAAATCGTCAGAAAAGGTCGGGAAAAAATTAAATTTTTTTCTTATATAGCTTTCGAACGCATCTAGGCGAATGAGAAAATAAAAATAAAAACAAAAAAACTATTAAAAACAATTAAAACCAAAGAAAAGATTACCATTAAAATTAAATAAAATAGGTCGGGACTTCATTGATTAAAATGTGACGAATTAACGATAATTGAAAACAATTCTAATTTTAATTTCAATCATTTACGCGAGCACGGAATTTACGCGAGCACGCACGCGCGCAAATACCCTATATACGGATTTTAATTGCATTTTGATATACATATTTAATTAATTTTTGCTGGTCTTACATATCATTTATTTGCAAAAATAACAGGAGCTACTTAAGGGTCTATATGGCAGGATTGCCTAACTGAAGAATGCTTGCCATCGAAGGGCTCTCTCGGTCAATCGGCGAGGATTAAAGAACTGCTAAAAAAAATAGTACTGTAAGTTATTACAGTATTTATAATATGAAATTGGATATAAACTAGTGAAATCATTAAAAACAAATCTATAGAGTTACATGAAATTCGACTGCTAAAAAGATTAAATGAAATTAAACTATACAGGAGCTGTCTCTTATACACATCTAGATGTGTATAATACGTAACACATATACTTTGCATGTGTTCATCGGGAAGATTATGAAACAAAATGGACGGTATGTACCACGTGACTTTCGTAAACCAAGGAGCGGAATGTCGCAACTCTTTATATATATGGCTCTGCCGTACCGTATCCCAATCAATCGGTATAGTGCTACTGGCGTTCCATACATTTTGAGCGCGGCCGCTCCGACCACGCCCACTTTTGCTTCGGGGACATTTTCCCGGCCGCAATTTTCTGTTCGAAACATTTGCATGAAACTCCACTCGGGTTGTCTCGACTGACTCGACTCGCAATCGCAATTCTGGAGATCAAAAGGTCATCAACCAAAGATAAACGTCTACAAAACTTAGATACAGGATTGCTGCTCGCTGTCTGATTTTGAAAAAAACACATTGCCATAATGAGTCGTTTAAAAAACGACATATGTATTATTTGATTTCGCTGCACGAATAATAAAAAGTGTTAGGCCCTATTTGAATTTGAGTTACATAATGTGAAAATTTTTATTTTTTAGTTGGCCGCGGTTTTGGATAATTGTTTAACTTATGTCATGACGAATTCGAGTCAACTCGGCCCCAATTTACTGTGTATGGTATTTATTGAATATTTACCAAGAGATTTGAATGCAAAGCCAAAATTAAAGTGTTTTTAAATCGTTGCCTTTGTTATTTCGGTTCAAACACATGCACTTACAATAATTAAAACTGCATTAATAAAAATAATATTAAAATGATATTAATAAAAATTATACAAAGGTATATAGAATAACTAATAATAATAATAACAATATAAAATTGGGGTCAACTTGACTTGGGGTTGGTTGACATGGGGCCGAGTTGACATGGGGGCCGTGTTGACTTGGGGCCGAGTTGACCTGCGCTTCCGCCTAGAATTACTAAAAGTTAAGGCAATGAGTTTGGATTATAGGCCTAATATACTATACTGTAGGTGCTTCTTGATTACAAGGCTTTAGGCTATGTTAATTAATGGCGAAATTATACATGGTTATTATAATTATTATTATTATTATTGTTAATATTATTGTTATTATTAATTAATATTAATTACATTATAAGGCTTAGGCCAAGTTCATTAATGCCTGAGTGATACATTTAATTTATTATATTTAATATTTTTTTACTCACTGTCCCATTTTAATTTATGTTTTTAATTTTGATCAAAATTTCAGTCAATGGCATGCGAAGCGTGAATGTTGTGTCAGGCCTAGGAACCTAGTCTGGCGGAAGGTGGGGGGGGGGGTGGCTAGCAGGTAGAACCTAACTCAGCTTGGAACTAGGCCGTTCCACTAGGCCCATTATTTAAGCCTCTTTTGTTCTAGCCTTTGATAGATGTACCTATTTACCACTGGTACACTATAGAAGGGGGTACTAGCTGTTGTTGTTGTAGTACATTTGATAACAAACATACAACAAGCTCACAGTTAGTTACAGACGTAGTCTACATCCCATAAATTTTATAGGCCTGCCGTAGGTAAAGAACAGTACAGTAAAGGTAATAGAATACTCGAGCGTCACGACATTGCGAAGTGCCTGCTCTTTTTTGTATATCAAACTCGAGTCGAATCAATCCGAGACGGCTCGAGTGGAGTTTCATGCATATGTTTCGTACGGGAAAAAAATCGCTTCCCGGCCCAACCCACCGTCGGGAAAATCCCTGCGCCATCAATGGAGCACCAGCAATGTGGGGTCGGGAGTTGGGGCGCTTATTGAATATTTAATTCTGCATGATTTAGCATAATTTCCCATCAGTCCTTGATTCGCGCATCGCTGATCAATTTAAATATAGTTGTTCGGTATTGTTTGTTTCGGTGTTGTGAAATCGTCACGACGACATTCCATCATAATCATATACGTAGGAGGTACACTGGACAGCTTTGACGATATCAAGAATTTCAGTTCAGGTACGCAATGTGTTTCTTAAAAACATACTTAATAATTTGCTGACAATAATAAGCGTTATTTTTAACCATGCCATAGCCTTGGGTTGTGGCCTAGACTCAGCCTACTCTCTCTCTAGACTATGCCCAGGCAATTCTGTGGTTTCCCTAGCTAGTAGGTGGGTCTACTGTTTTAGGTAGAATACTGTACACACACCAAGGCAAGGCTGAGCACTCCATACAGACTCCGGCCGTTCCGTGGCAATTCTGGCAAAACAACGCAACTTGAAATTGTCACTTTTAAGTTTCAAATTTTGCGGGACTGATATTTAAATTATAGACATTATGATTTATATACACATTTTTAACTAGGCCTTCCTAGGGATACAGCCGTTGGTTTATTTCAAAGTTCAATTTACGAAATTTACAGATGCGTTAGGCCTAGGGCCTACCTCGGAAACATGTCAGGCACGGTATTGTCGTGAGTGCGACATATTTTTGGAATTAATCTCGTTTTGGGCAATCACATGTATTATTAAAGCCCCATTCACGGCAAAATTTCACTAAAAAAAGATTTTTTTTTTAGAAAAAATGGAAATAACTCTATTTATTATAAACAATGGAAAAATATTGGCATTAATCCCATACAAACATTTTCTATAGAATTCTATAAAGAAAATTCTATAGATTTTCTATATAGTATTCTATAGAGTATCTAGGCCTATAGAAAAGAACAGCATTTCTATAGAAAGTAATGCTGTTATAATTTCTTTTCTATAGAAATTCACAATACTTCTATAGAAAAGAACAGCATTTCTATAGAAATTACTGCAGATATAATATATTTTCTATGGAAAACTGTATTATTCTCTATAGAAATGTACAGAATTTCTATAGAAATATAAATCTCTATGGAAAATAACAGCATTTCTATAGAAATAATTGCAGATATAATATATTTTCTATGGAAAACTGTATTATTCTCTATAGAAATGTACAGAATTTCTATAGAAATAATGCTGATATGTTATATTTTCTATAGGAAAAAAAAACAGCATTTCTATAGAAAATAACGCTGATAAAATTAATTTTCATAGAAATTCACAGCACTTCTAGAAAATAACGCTGATATAATTTTTTTTATATCATTCGATCACTAAAAAACTGTTTTCACAAATAAAAAAAAAAGTGTAAAAATAAAAAAGTATTATTTCATATTTGTTATCTTGTACAAAATCTAAATATAATTTTAATATAAGTATTCCACTTGTAGCAAAATATTTTCTTCATTAACTGTCCAATATTAAAGTTTCTTCCTTCAAGTGCTATGCAGAACATATACAGTAAGATGTAGCTAAAATTTGAATACTCTTATAGGCTTCTAAACCATTTATCTTTTGAAATATAAATCCCTTATTACAGTACATAAGCCTGCAGTATCTTCATTTAAAAGGTAAAATACAAACTTATTTAACAAATTACCTACCTTATGGCAGTAATTCAGATGGGATTCAAATGCTCTTTCTCTACCGATGTTTCACATGTGCGTTGCTTTTCTTCCCTATCATGAATCCTTTTCTATAAGTAAACCATGGCCAATGTCAATCTATTGGAAGATAGATAATTATTTACTATTTCTTAGTAAACTTTCCTCCCACATTTGCGCATGCTATTAGTATTTAACTGTCAATGGACATCCATGGAAAATATTCACACCCCAGTTAATTATACCATATTTTTTGGTCAACAAAAATATAATTATGCTTGAAATATTTCAAACTTTAATTATAGCATAATTGAAAACTTCCTATGTGTAGAATATTAGTATATTAAAAAGTTCCAGCTATTGATGTTTTTGGGCATGACTTGTGTGGGTGTCGCATTCAAAATACCAATTATTATATATTATTGAGGTCAGACAGTTGACAGTTAACAAGCATTCATTTTGAAAAAGAGTGAAGTATATTGAACTGTGCAAAAAACAAGTCTCAATATTTTTGGTTGACACAAAATACAATAAATAAATGATATTTAAAGAAAAAATGGTATTACAGCTATTTATCATAGGAGATTTCCATTTTCTCAACAAATTTTTCGTTACTAGGCAAATTCAGAGGTTGTAGCTTAGATCACATCCGCTGGAATGCAGGATCCATGAAAAGTTGTATAAAAAGAAGTGGGTTACCCACAATCCACATCTTTATATTTGCACAAGTAATTAAAATTGTTTATTGAGTAGGTTAATTTCACTCATAAACAATTGTACTACATTCGGCTGGTACATATGATCTTCTATTTTAGAGACATAATTTCATTATTTTCTTTCCAAAAAACCTAATAAACGTTAACTAGCACCTCATGTTGACTTTTGTGGTGAAAATACAAAGTACAAAATTTAAGTTAATAGAACATACTGCTGTTACATTTTCTAGTTTTCCCCCAACGTTGTATTTAGGTACATGCTACAGTACACACGATGAGCCTACAACTTTCGATAGCAGAGTTCCGCACGAGTGATTCAGCCCACATCTTTATATGTCTGAGTTAATGCATGAATGGTTTTATGGACCTTCTTAGGACTTTCTTCCTATCCCACATCTTTATATCTAATTTTGCTGAGAGTTCCAATTGAACAATTTCCTGTAACTTTTGGTATCTGCGCATGACATGTTTCCATTGCAGGATTTATATGTGTTGAGAAGTTGAGCATATTCTCGGAAGAGAAGCCGGCAGCTGACTCAGGAGTTTTAGAATTTATTTTTTTATCTTAAAATAAATGAATGTTTGGAAAATTTGAATTTTTTCTTTTCTAAATTTTCTGTCAAATTAACGGTTGAATTTATGTATCTTTTATTTGATTAGTAAATAATTGGTTACCATGGAATCACCCAAATGATTATAAATCATATGATGTAATTAGAAAAAAAAAATATTGTAGCACTGACTACCCATTAAATTGACTGACTAAATCACAATTGTTACAATATTTTCATGTATTAAGTTATTAAAATTTCACTAGGATAGAAATCATTACTTTATAGTTCACTTTTCCTAATAATGATTGTTATTTCCTAATAACTGTTGTTATTGGAGGGTAACCCAGATGTGCACTATTTTACACTGGGCCGCTTATCAACACGGAAAGGCCCACAAACAATTGCATCTTCTTCAAAACTGTGTAAAAACAGGAGCAGATCCAGAATTTTTCAAACGAGAGTGAGGGGGGGGGGGGGGGGGGACAACTCAGAATAGGTAAGTTAGTAGCACATAACATTGATTTCTATTGAAAATTTTAAAATTTAGTAGCAAACGAGTTTCTATTCCATTTTACCATTCTCTGGCTGATAAGCAAGTAATGCCTTGCTTGAATGGCTATCGGCAGAGGGGATGTAAGGTATATTGAATAGCTGACCAAAACCTTACCAAAAACAATGATTAATATCATATCTTTGTAAGTACTTGACCTATTTTAACGGAGAAAGCATGAAAATGTTCAAAATCATAAAATACAACATTATTTGTAGCCCACTATTTGATTTATGCGATAACAATATAAAATAAATATGTATCAGTCAAGAACTGCTTGTAATAAGTGTGAAAACCTAAGAGATTAATTTCTATTAAGGCTAATCCTTTTTTTCCATTTAGCCATGTATCTCGACCTGATGTCTCTCTTTTATGTATACTTTATACAGTCAATAAAGTGCGTTCTATCTAGTGAAATTGGTTTTGTACTTCGCATCTCGCACACTGCGATCTCGGTCAGAATCATTTTTTTAATAGATTTGAAATAATTCCTATGAAATATATTTCACAAGTGTCAATATTAGCAATGGAAAATATCATGTCGGCCATTTTTATGTGTGATAACAGCACCTAAATCGAGGTAAGGAGTGCTTGATAGGCTGATGTTTTCGGCGCCTGCTATTTCTTTGCAGACCTATCGCAAAATCAAACATGAAAAATCCATCCGCATTTATTTTTTGTGTGGAACACAAAAAATCAAATTTCAGTCTTATTTTACATTTTTTTCATGAAATACAAATAGGAATGTCTAAATTCATTTAGCAATTAGTATTACATTTATAAATCTTTATAACATATATAAAAATCAGATTTTTCTTATCAACTGAAATCTTGCCGGGAATGGTGCTTCAATTAGCTTGTGCATACGTTGTCGATAATATTATTGATATGAAAACACCATCTACTAGGCCTAGTTGATTTTGCCTAGATTTTAAGTTTTGTGCTTAAAGAGAGGTGGTGCTATCTCCAAAACTACTGTACTTATTGTGGAGACCTGAAATTTTCAGGTAATTTAGAAGTATTTAATATACAAATGATATTATCTCAAAATCGACAAAATACGCCTTTTCCACGAATTGCTAGACATCTTGAAGTGATGACAAACAACCGAAGTCAGTGGTGTGTAACCAACAGAAATAAGATAAGGTTTGAGGCTGACTTCTTGTAAATGTTATCTAAAAATTCATAACTCCATAACGAAGGGTTGTATCACATTAATTTTTCTGGAAAATGTTCTCAAAAGACTATTCTACACCACTATATGATTGAAAAATGTTTTTGACCTCTGAAATCAAGATGGAAAAAGAAAAGCCTATCTAAAGTAGTGCATTAAAATAGGCCTATGCATTACAGTGCAGTAGTACTGGTAGTAGGTGCTATATAGCACACTATTTTAAAAATGTTACCCAGTGTTTTTATTTTGGTGAGAGAAACTCAGAACAGCAAGAATTTTTGAAAACGGACTACTGGTTCTTAAGTTATGATCAAAAACGTTACCCGATATTTGCGCCTTTTCAGCCGTTTTTGGTTGAAATTGTAAAACTCCATTTTCTTTCATTTTTTAATGAAAAAAAAAATGTATTTAAAATAATTTTTGGAACTGTAAATAATGCTTTTCTTGCAGACAGCTGGGAATAATCCACTGAATAAAAGAAATCAGATCTGTATTTACGTTGTTTTTTTTCAGGATCGATCATCAAATATGACAGAATTCTTTAAAAAAATAAATGGAAAACTTAGAAATGGTAAAAAAATGACTAAGTACAGCTAATTAATAGGCATAAATGATATGACTCCTGCATACAATACTCTTTTATCAAGACACTTGGCACAGATCATGTTTGTATAGGCCTTTATTTTGAAAAACATTTTCAAGATGGTAGGTACATCCATATCCAAATTATCTCAATTAAATATACACTTTTACATAAACAACCTAATTAAATATGCATACATTATACTGTATTACTTCAAAATGCAATGGCCTGCAGCCATAAAATTATGTATATATATATTATATATTTATAGAACTTTAATTTAATCTAGGTTTCAATTAATTTCAATTAATATTATGCATATTATTATAATTAATATGTATTTTCATGTGAAATTGCCTAATTAAATATGCATAAATGATTTAACATTAAAATGCAACAATTTATTATGACAATACTTAATACATATTATTTATTTATAGAACTTCAATTTAATCCAAATACCCTTTCATATGAAATATTGGTATGTAAATTATCCTAATTAATATGCATATATCATTTAATTACCTAGGGCTAAGTCTTAATTTGTGTAAATGATGTAATTTCAGCTGCAACAACTTATGAAAATATTACTTATTACATATTATACATATATTGTACAGTACATACAAAACTGTAAACCTCTGTGGAAACTTGGATATGAAGTCTGAAAGAAAAAAAAATTACCTAATTAAGTTTCAATGTTAATTGATTTTCGTGTATAACAAAAAACATCACACCCGCCTACCGCACTAGTCTACTCTATTTTGCAACTCTAGTCAATCTTCACATGCAATTTTGTGTGCATAAAACTAAGAAAAAAAATTTTTTTTTTTTTTTTTTTGCTATATTTAAAATATAATATGTTGTGAATTAGGACAAGAAATACATTTCACCTGGTGTGGCAAAGTCCGTCACTAACAAGCATATTTCATCCGACGTCGGCCCAGAGGCCACGTACAAACATCACTATACAGGGCTTGAAATTAAGGGTTATTTGGTCGCAAAATAGCGCGAGTAGATTTTGTAAGCGGCAGGAAGGTGGTTTCCCTCCAAATCCCAATTATTTACAACTTGTACAGCCCATTATTTTCAGTCAGGCAATATGCAAAACATGCTATCATTCATTTTACATGTACTGTATCAACCAATCAGCATGACCTACAGTACTGTAGACTCTTAAAATGTGACGTCGTACACTAAAACCGTGTCGATGTCCCTCATCTTATTCTTGTTAAATAAGTGATCACCGTCAAAGCGAAGGAGACTGGTATAAAAACATTGGATTGCAGGATTTTTTACTATTTTATTGAGTGCTACTCTTACCTGTACCTCCTCGTAATTGTGAACGTTTCCTTGACGTATTTGTTCATAAAATAGACTATGTACCGAAATCTCAAACGATCGTATACAGTATTGACTCATACGATGTAAACAGCCCAGATCAAGCAATAATCAAAATTTAACTCTAAATAGATAGTAAATAAATACAATTAGGCATCATCTGGACGCAGGGTTCCCGGAACACCGCCCTCAGCGGCGAGTGCGAAGCACAACTCAGGGTCAAAAGTGGAACGTGAAATTTGGATATGGTTTTGTAGTCAGATTTGCGAGAAAAACTTCAGCTACCCGTATTTCTCGACTGAGACGTCAGTGGGAGCTGTTGTATGGCAAGGAGATTGAGCAACCCTTCATTCATATTAAGGGAATTTACGCCCAGAAACTTTGTAGTTATTAATATTTTGGTTATAATAGAAAATATTCATTTTTTGGTGACGTCACACTCACATTAGTTAGCATGCATACGTCATAAGCTAGAAACGTCACCTTTTCCTGGTAAGGCAAACTTTCCCGGCGTGCTTTTTTCATGGATAAACAAACACCACTGCTTTGCACATGGATGCCTTGCCCAAGCCAGGGCTACAAGAGCCGCATTGTTAGCATTGTATAATATTAAATAAGGTACCTCTGCAAATGAATTATTCTTAGTTATTTTTTTTTCTTATTTTAATTTATTTCTTCCGAAAGTGTACTTTCTATCACATATAATTCCACTGTCTTAGTTAGGCCTAGGCCTAGTCTTATGCCCCATCGTCCCCCGCTACACAGTACATCAGCAGCCCCTCCCCCATACTGTACAGACGTTTGCTAGGTAACAACGTGATTGCACCTTCCTTCCCATGTGTTCATGTAACATTGACATAATTGTTAGCTAACCAGTTGTGTGTATTTCTTTGTGAAAATGAGTACCGCGGCGTACTCATTTTCACAAAGCATTTGCATCCCCTCTTGGAAAGAGAGATTCGAAATAATTGTCTCCATATCTTTGCTAATTTAGCTTACACTTATGAATTTAGGGAGCACTTAAAATGTGAAATAATCATTTCACTCAACCCATATTAAAAATAAGTCTGCCAATATCCATGTAAATGTAGTTGGCCGGTGGCTATTGTAACCAATGTATAGGCATTCGCAGTGTTAATGCGATTCTGCGGACCTATTTTCCCGAAATTTCCTGCACAAATGAAGAAAAATACTGAAAAATTTAATGAAAGTGTACAGAAAATATAGTTAATGTTTAAGTAATAATAATTTAAAGAATAAAAAATAAAAAATTAAATTTGTAAATTTGTTATGTTTCAGGATTTTGACCAGCATTGACCATGGCTACCACTGTTGTTCATCAAGGCCCACCGAATACGGTTATCATGCCAGCAACTCAAACTGTGCAGTACCATCATCCAACTGGACCATTGCCAAGTGAAAATCTGAATGTAGACAGAGCTAAAGCAAGTGGGTGGATTCAGATTATTTGCGCTGCATTGTCGATTATTCTGGGTGGAGTGGCATTCGCCATTGAAGCATGCAAGTATAAATCGGGGACACCCATTTGGTGTGGTGCCTTGGTAAATATTTTTTTCTTTTTACCCCCAAACTTTAACCAAAAATACCTTAGTATAAGTCGATCTACTCATCAGTGTCAGGCTAGCATTACAGCAGGCCCTACCATCTAAAAGGATCCTAAGCTAACAAAACAAGTTGTGCCCAGGCAGACGTTTATTTTTACCTGATCGATTTTTAAGACATTCAATTTAGCCTATTGCTGATATGTTTTGAGCCATACGACTGCATAATTTGTTTATGTATTTAGTATTTAATTCAATGGCTACTACTTTATTTAAGACAGCTGACAGCATGCAGTACAGGCATGCTGCTCATCATAGGTACCGAAGCGATCAGTTGTTCATTTGGCGACCTGGCACGAAATTTTGTTGATACGAGGCACTGTGGTACAGAAAAGCTTTTCAATGTGACATAATAAAGTTGGGAAACATAGCCCAAGGCGAAGCAACTTTTTATTTGGCGCCCTGGCATAATATTTTGTTAAAGCGGAGCGCTACAGTACAGAAGATAGGGGATGCTGTAGTTTTTAAGTAATGTATTAACAACTGGCAAATAATGGCCGTCAAGTACTCATTTTGGATGGTTTTTTGCTGTTTTTTTTTATCCAATATCCAGCCTAAAAAAGTATCCTATGTGTATGGAAGATGAGCACATTCCTAGCAGCTGTTTCAGAGGAGAATGTGAAGTTACACCTAGGCGTTGACAGAATTAGATAATAATTCGAACTTATATACTGTATTGCATGTAAAATACCTCATGCGCTTTACAGCAGGGAGTGAGATAAATTATTTAGTTTTACCTAATTAAAAAAAAATGAATATCAACTTTTAAAATATTATTAACGTGATTTATTTTAAGTTTTGAATAATTTCAAAAATACAGTATGTTTAATTTTTTTTAAATTTAGAGTACTTAATTAATTATATTTCTTTTCTTGTCCTTATTACTTTAAGCCTACTCACCTTTCTTTCCCCATTTTTCATGTCTTTCATCCCTTTTCGTTCTTTTTCTTTCATTCCTACTTTTCCTTAACTTTCCGGTAATTTCTTTCTTTACCTTTTTTTTCTTTTATCTTACTTTTACTTTATTTTTTCCTTCCCTTTCTCTTCATAATACATTTTCCTTTTCTTGCCTTTTATTTTTATTTTCTTTTATCTACATTATCTTTAGCATTCCTTTATTTTTCCTTTTCCTTCCTACTTTAGTTTTCTTTATTTTTCTCCCTTTTTTCATTCATTTTCTTTTTTGTTTCTTTTCAGATTTCTTTTTTTTTTCTTTTTCTTTATATTTACCTTTTCCTCCTTTTACCATTCTATTACTTTCCTTTCTTTTCCTTTAAAGACAGGCAATGGGGTCTTTAGATTTCTCTATTTAGAAAGAAATGAAATTATATATTAAATGTTTTAGAACAGATGTACAGTATAGTTACTGCATGCATACACAGAACACACAAAACATTATCTTCAGTGTGCATTTGCTAATATTCTTATATTTCAAAAACATAACAAAATATATTATAAAACAAATGCATTAACATCACTATTTAATTTATAGTGGCCTTTAAAATTGGAGCGAAAAGTTGGGTCTGCCAAAACCATGGTCTCTGGTCTCAGCTTTAATTGGAGGGAACAGCTAATGATAACATTTAAGCATTCAACCTGGGCTGCAGAAAAGTGGTCTTTAATTAGAGGTAGTCTTTTATTGGAGGGAGTCTTGTAGTAAAAGTGTTAAAGCCAGACAGAGTTTTTAAATATTCAAAAATAACATATCTACTTATTACGGTTTCCAAGTTTTTTCGTTGAATGCCTGCAAATTCTTCCAATTTGAAATCTTTCATCTGTAGAAGTTACTGGTAATTGAAACTGAGCATAGTGTAGTCCGTGAAGGTTATTTTGAAATTTCTAATTTTTAGTTCCTATGCATGTAATGCAATAGGAACTATTGTAATCACTCTTAGTCACATTTCTTATGTTTTTTATTGTGTGTAGTGTGTGTGTGTGTAGACATTTATGCAAATGCGCATGCGTCAAAAGAAAGTTTTCCGACATTTTGTTTTACATAGCGATGCGAAGATCGATGTGAAGTTTCTGCAGAGTTCAGTCAGGGCTCACGCTAACCGACCGGAATGTTGGCATGGATGAAACTATTTTGGTTTTACGGCAAAAAAATCATCTGCTGTAGGCATAGGTATTTTGAAGAAGGCCAAAAATAAAACTAAAATGTTTTAATACTTGCTGAAATACATCGTTTCTTCATTTAGATCTCCATTTTTCACTTAGTCCATGCGAGGTTTTTTTCTGTTGTATACGTATGAGTAGTCATATGAAGGTACTATCCCCGACAGTTGGCTGTGCAGCAACGTACCCTTTGAATGCAAACTGAAAACAGGTGAAAATATAAAGGCAGCCGACTGTCGGGTACATAACAACTATCTAGCTTTCCACAAAAACATGAGGCCTAAGCTAGGCCTAGTTCAGTATTACTGCGATGCAAGGGTAGGCCTAGTTAGATCGTTTAATCAATGATATCGTGTTATCGTCTAATACAATTAAATAATGTGTGTAATATTTAAGAATGCACCACGTGGGTCGCTTTCTTTATGCGGTTGTAGTGTAGTATACGTAGCAGAGTGACGACAGCAAGCTAAGCCTAGCTCAGGGCATAGATCGTGTACGTTCTTGATAATCGTAATGAAAACTTCGGGTGATAGACGATTGGGCCCAACTGGTGTGGACGATCGGACCCAAGATATTTTCAAATAAATTGTAGTCCTAATAACAGGCCACTGCCAGCACACCCACTTCCGATATCGTTCCAAACTACGTACTGTAAAATGAAAATACTGTATACGTAGCTAGGCCCTATGCCTACGATATTTTTTCAAAGAAATTTGCTAAAAATGTTACTGTAATTTGCCTGTCGAATTACATTACCAATGTAGTCTGAAATCACTATTTTGGGCCATAAAGACTCCCCCTGTATTTTTCAACCACCACACAAATTTGACCCAACCATACATATAAGTATGTATGTTATAATGCTGTCTCTTATACACATCTAGATGTGTATTAAAAGTCATGTATCATGCATAGGAACGTTGACGCCTGCAAGGCTCTGGTTAAATGTTGAAATTTATGGTGTCATCAAAACATTTTCTTTTTGTTTTTTTTCTTGAAGTTTTACTTGCCTGCCGGTATTCTTGGTGTAGCTTCAGGAAATCAAAAATCATCTTGCACTGTAAGTAAATTGAATGTTTTAATTCTATGGTACTCAATGACCAGCAACAACAAATAACAAAGCAGACACAAACTTCAAATAAGGTTTAAGTAAATACAGAACAGCTGGTACAGTATCTAGACAGACAATGAAAATAGTAAATGTATGTGGATGCTTTTGAAATATAAAAATGATGTTGCAAATTTCACACTTAACCTCTAAATTCAGTTGAAACGAAAAAAGCGATTAAAAAAAATCGATAAAAAACACACAATGGATAGCGTGTTTGAACGGCAAATAACTGATTTTGGCTGTGGACTTTTTAGCAGCAACACAAAATAGCAATTATCAGGTGAACTGTGACCTTCAGGTCAAACCCCAATGCTCGCTCCGGTATCACGCGCAAAGTTTCAAGAACGATTACAAGTCCTTCTGTGTTCGTGGTAAGCAGTAGTAAAAGAAAATCAAAAAGAAAATGTGGAGCGACAAGATTACTCGATTTGTAATTATTTTGTGGGGGGAGCATAAATCCAGTGGCCAACTGCAAGGCAATAAAAAGTTAATAATTGACCGGGTTGAGAAAGAGTTCAATTTACAGCACTCCAACTGACAAACAAGCTCAAAAACTTGCAAAGGAGTTTTACGCAAGCTAAAGACCACAACAGTAAGTCAGGAAGGGAACGAATAACGTGCCCCCTCTACGATTTGTTGGACAAAATTCTGGGTGATTGGGCCTTGCACGCTCCCCCTTACATCATGGAAGGAGGGAGACAGTTTGCTCAGGAAGAAGAAGAAGAAGGTAGGCCTATTTTGTTATGTACTCTTTATTACCGCGGCCGAGTGGTCGCTGGTGCCTGGCCACGCAAGCTAGGTTCAGTTGGTATGATCGGAAACGGGCTCGTCGTATTCATACATCGTCATAGCCAATGCTAGTTTGGGAGGCTTAAACATCTAAAACTGTAGCCCATACAGAGATTTTCTGCCGTAGTACCCCTTTTCTAGGCTTACAGGCCTAGTGTTCGTTTCTTTGTACATTGTATTGCAATACTAATCCCATTTCATATTGAATAATTTTACTGTTCAGAAATGTAAATTTTTATTTTTGTTTGTTTTTTTTGTAATACTGTAGCTGTTCTCAGATACTGTAGGCAAGATGAAAATCTAAGAATATACATTACTGTTATTTCTTAGATGTATTTTATATGCCCTTAAACGGAATTATTAAACATTTGCTCAAATTTGTTTTAATTAATATACTAATAAATACAGTACACTGTAAAAATTGGCCTAATTCTTGTTTGAATTTTTTTAAATCTGATACTCCAACCTCATTAGGAAAATGACTTTTGTCACAGACTACAAATAAGATGCATGCATTCCTGGGCAGTACCAGTTGAGTGTTTTTATTCCTGACGCATGTGCTTCTTGCATGTTGTAATTGTATTCTAATTCTTGTCCTATCACAGTCAATAGCAACAGCAGTAACAACACTGACACCGACAGTCAAGAAAATGTTGCCATGAATGAGGAGGCTAATGCAAGTGATGAAGAGAGGGACGAGGAAGAGACTGTTGAAGGTGGAGAACTCGCAGAGGAAACGGAAGATCGACGTGCACAGCTAGCTGGTAAGAATGGAACTGTTATAGAGTACTGTGTTGTTACATCAGAGTAACATCACATACTGTATTTTAAATTCCCATCATTTATTTCTAATCTTTTTATACAGACACAAACAATAAAAATTAAAAAATTAATATGGGTAATTTGGATTGCTTCATTTCTTGTTATTTTGTTCAGTTGAAGAGCCACCTAGAAAGCGGACAAAGAAGACAAAGCTAGAAGAGTCAATTAACGTTCTTGCAAGTATGATGGCAAAACAGGACCAGGAACTGGAAGAGCGCTTCCACCGTCACGCTGCGTCACGTGCAAGGGAACAACGAGATTGGATGCACGAAATGCTTCAAGCTAATGAAAGGAGCCGAAGGGAGGAACGCGAAATGATGATGCATTTATTCCAACAAGTTATGCAACAAAATCAGCCACATACCAATCAACAGCATTCACAAACATTTGCGCACGTACATCATCGCATCAATCTCACTTTCAATATCCTGTTGCATCTTCATACTCGCCAAATGTTACTCCTCATCTGCTTCATACCAGAAATATTCAACTCCAACACACATTTCTACACCATCACGTTCATCATCACAACCAAGACCTCCCTCCACACACTTTCGTTCAGCATTGCGACCAACACCTCGCCCAACACCTCGTTCAACACCGTCTGATCACAAGATATTAATCTACCAACTGATTTACAAGCACCAACCTATTCCTCATTGTGAAAATCTCATCCAACAACTATTTAACAGCTAGTACAGTATTTAAACATGGGGAAAATCATGAAATAAAACAAACCAAAAAATATACAGAAGATGTACAGAATATATTTTTATTTTTAACATGTATGCTTCTTTTTACAGTTAAGTATTAACATTGTTAGTAAGGCGAGACTTTTTTATCTACCTTGTTTCGCTAACTTATTTTTTTAAAGATCATTAAGCGATTGCAGAATAAAAATATAATTTAGTTTTTTTTTTATATATAGAAAATCCAGACGGAGAAAATAAAAATAAAATTTTATTGGTAAATTTAAACAGTGTAGTAATGGGGATGGTTAATTGCTTTAAATTTACATAATTTGGAAGAAATATACATATCTTATATTTGGAGATTTCAGGGCAGCAGTGGGTGTAAGAAAAATAAAGACATACATTTTTTTTTATCTGAAATTTATATTTTTTGTGGTGGTTTTTTTCGCCAAGAATAAAATTGTATTTTCATTTTCAAGCATCATTATTGGTAGGCGGCGGATTTGCTGAACAAGGTATAAAAAAAAGTCTCGCCGAATATAATTATAAATTATTTTTAAAAAGTCAAAACAAACCAAGAGATATGTAAAAAAGTAAAATGCAATATATATACATATATATCTCTTTCAACATGAACCTTGACAATCATAATTTACGGATGCGGTTAGTTGAATAAACCTTGAAAAAATATGAAAATGTTTTAATTACATATGTCAGTATTTTAAGCTACTTAATAACTTTTATACAGCTAAAACTTGTCTAAGTTTTACATGCTAAACTGTTTTCAAATGATCAACAATCTGTAAGTCAAATTTTATCTAAGTCTTTTTGGATTCAACTTGGGCAAGTTCAACTGTACAGCCATGTTTTAATTTGTTTCTAAATCTATGTTAAAAAGTATGTAAATCATTATAAAACATGTTTTTAATAAAATATTTGTTTTGTTATATTATTGTTCTAAAATTATTTACATTACCTGTTGAGATATTTACATTAGGAAAAAACCCTTTAGATGGAGAAATGTTCTTTGTTATACTTCATAAGCTTAAGTTATATTGGAGTCTGTACTACTACTTATTTGTTTAATTAATATCTGTAACCAATAATAACAGCATGCTTAATGGTTATACTTCATTAGCTTAAGTTATATTTTAGTCTGTACTAATAATTATTTGTTTAATTAATGTCTGTAAACCATAACGCATGCTTATATTTTTAATAATTTATGTAAGTAACCAATAATAATAGCATGCTTATATTTTTTCATTCCTTTTATATTTTCACATCTCCTGAACTAAAAAATATGCAATACTGGAAAGCAATTGGTTACCATATAAAAAAGATATGCAATACTGTATATAAAAAGGAACACATTTATTGGAAATATATACTGTTGTTGATAAAAAATAAAAATTACTTAAAGGAAAGTAGCTACCCTAGTCTAATATTTCATTGATGTACATTACAATAATTCATTACAGCTCTCCTAATATCCATTGCATCAGGCAATGGATTTTCGGGTGCGTGATTGTCGTCCACTTCAACTTCAGGCCAGTCCGGCATCACAAGTTCATCATTCTGCTCTATGCAGAAATTGTGAAGAACACAGCAAGCGCTTACCATTAATGGCACTTTCGAAATGTGCATGTTGTTGCGGCGCATTAATATGCGCCATCTACCTTTCAAGCTTTCAAACGCTCTCTCAACAGCCATTCGAGCTCTGCTGAGTCTATAATTGAATACCCGCTGCTGTCTATTGAAATTTGCACGCTCTGGAAATGCTTTCATCAGCCATGGCAGTAACGGGTAGGCTGGATCGCCTATTATAAACAATGGCACATCTACAGCATCCATTTGTACAGTTGTCTGTTAGAATAAATAAAAATAAAACCACCTTAAAAAATTTGAAATTATAACAAATGAAAAAAAATGCTATCAAGAATCCAAACAAGTGCATCTAAAAACATGAGTACTGTATGGTCCACAACTAATAAATTAGTGTTTGTTCGGCAGCAGTCCATCAATGAAGATGCTCAAGAAATGACACAACAGTGCATCTCAAAAAAAATTGTTTTTAAATCAACAATATATCAATATAATTTTAAATGCTAACAGTTGCACAACTCAATTTAATTTGCCATGTATCATATCCTGCAATTAGGTCTGTTGATACTTTATGAAAATTACTTACCCTCGGAAATAATTGTCCATTTTGACCTCTCTCATAAAGGCTTGAATTCCTGAAAACCTGGGCATCATGGACTTTCCCTGGCCATCCTACATGAACATCGGTAAACCTGAAATCAACATTCAATACATGTTAATCATCAATTTTTGTTATAACATGAACAGTGAAAATATGATAAATGCTGTAATTAAAATAATTTACCATAATTTATGGTCAACAACTGCCTGCAAAATTACCGAATAGTGGCCTTTGCGGTTGTAATAGTCAAGTGGCGAAAAGTGTGGAGCTTTTATGGGAATGTGTGAGCCATCAATTGCTCCAGCACATTGTGGGAAACCCATTTCTCTAAAACGATTTACAGTTGTCGTTAGTCGATCCCCTGTGGGCCAAACAATGTAATTGTCGTACATGGTGTCAACGGCAAACTGTAGATCTGTGCACTCCAAACAAGTTTCCAATGGATCTTAGTTCACAGATGGTTGAGAGTCTCCAGAGTGCCATACCAACAACTTTCTCAACTGTCATACCATTTCTAAAATTGGATGGTTCTCTTTCCAAGGTGGGTTGCAGCATATTACATAGAACTTGAAAGGTACCCGAAATCGGAAAAATTAATAAAATTAATAGTATCCTAGGCCTAATATCTCACAATTGCATATAAAAAAAAGTGCATTCCTATTAGCAAGTTAAAACACTATGTTTTGTGCTGTCCTCAATCCACATAAATTCAATTGCGATCGTCGTCGTAACAAACGTATGTAAGGCTATTGGTATACTGTAGTAGTATGTATGTAGTACACTCTACTTCTAGGCCTAGGCTACGGCCTAGCCTAGAGGCCTGGTAGACAGTTTAGAATTAATTACTAATAATATAGGCCTAGGCCTACATCATTATTAATTATTTATTAAAAATAATTTGATGGTGATCTGTTTCTTTTTTACCTTTGGACATTCGAAAATTCTTTTTCCATAATTTTTCCGTATATCGTCGAGAAACCGTCTCATTCCACCAGTCCAGTGAAATGATATTGGGCCTAGGCCACCCCGCTCTTCTGGGCCTATCGTTGTTCTCGTTCATTCCCTCGTTCGTATTGCCAATGAGCGAAGCCGATAGCATTTGCCTTCTCGCCATACGACGTGCCCTTAGCATGTTCCACACCCGATAGCATTTGCCTTCTCGCCACACGACGTGCCCTTAGCATGTTCCACACCGTATCCTCCTCCTCTTCATCATGAACGGAATTCACCATGTGAAGTATATTATCTTGTCGTTGAGAAAGAAACGTCCATAATGTAGCGAGTAACAAAATTGCATTATTAAATAGTCATATTGTCATCAAAATCTTCGTAGGAAAGAAATGCACAGTTCGGAAAACATTGTATACTGATAGCCAAAGAATCTGTAAACAAATGGCGATGTAATTTCCGCCGCGAAAACCGATTTTCGTAAAAGCAAAATGCTGTTGCAACATGAGCAGGCAGTCTGGCACTCATTTAAGAAGCGGTTAAAAAAAATCGATTATTTTGTGAAAATCAGTAGCAACACACCATAAGTCTCCCAACTTGGAATCTCTGATCTGTAGAAAGTAATTTACAACTGAGCATAGAATAGTGTGCGATGGTTATTCTGAAAGTGTCAAATTCAAAATTCACTTTTGACCTCTGATCCATTTTTAAAGTCCAACCCTCATTTAATGGTTAGTACTATGCATTTTACCGACATCAATATCATAGAGGCGTCATGTGTGATTCTTGGTATATACTATATAAGTGTTATCAGACAGTACCTTTTAAAAAACACCATTGGTTATGCCAGTGAAGAAAACTGTGTACATGCAGACATAGTACAGAGATCCAGTTATAATTTTAAATTGTAATTTTGTAATTTATTTATATAATTATAATTATATATTTTCCAGTGCTAAATTTAATTCCACAATTGAAGCACCACCTAAGTGTGTTACTTGCATGAAAACATTGTTTTTTTGTTTCAGATCATTGGCTGTATGGTAATGTCTATCCTATCAGCCATTGTTAGTGTCTCTCACTTTGGTGTGAATCTGTCAGGAGCTGCCAATGAGGGCGAATATTATTATTGCCACAATGAATATTATAACTGGTATTATACTGAATATTATGATGATGATGATAAGGTAAATATTCACTGTTATATTATTCAATTATTTAATCAAGTTATGAATGTACACGCCAAATCTCGCTTGGCCCAGCTGGCTGAACTACTTATGTAAGCTGCACGTCCCAAAGGTTTGGTTTGTACAGTACTACTGGTGGTAGCCTGGTGATCTGAAATTCCTTAATAGCTTGTTTTAAAATAACATAAAACGGATTTCAGAATTAAATAAATATTTACCAACTTTGTTTGAATGTAATCAAACACAAAAACGTTATTATAAAGCCAAAGGTACTAGAAATACAAGATAGAATTCTCGCATTGTAAAAATGAGGCGGAAGTCGTGCCCAACGTAGGCGGCGCCCTTCTTTTTAACCACGCAAGTTTCCTATACTTCGTGCCCAACGTACAGGGCGCCCTTCTGTTGCTAAGTATATCCAGACGCAAAAGGCGCGCCCTTCCTTTTCCACTAATGGAGGAAAACTTTTTCACTAAGAGTGCATCCGGCCATGCGATTCTGCGCTGTATTGTTGTTTTATTCTTTACTGATTCATGATTATGCTTTAATTGTTTTGTATATTATTTGGATAATAGCAACGATTTCTACCGCCACCAAGGAGGTTATGTATTCACCGGATTCACTGTCTGGGTGTCTATTCCAGTTTGTTTAATATATCTAGTCTTTGTTGAGAATTGATAATAAAATACGCGACGACTTGGTAACGAAAGTTTGGCACAAGTTTTTTTAGATCCAGCTGTAGGGGGCTTCCCATTTTTCGTATTCCCACCATGCATTTCGATGGAACATGGTGGAACACTTTTTTTGTGTGGAGAACTCTATCTTGTATTTCTAGTATCTTTGATAAAGCATAGTAATACAATATTTTATAAAAAAGAATTACTTTATGAAATATATTGGAAGAAAACAACTGCCGCCATTACAATTCCCTATATATACATGGTCCATGGTCATCAGTTCTCAATGACTGGACCAGAAAAAGTATGAAGTATTAATTTCAGATCTCTGTTTATCGCGTTCAAAATGCCGTCAATATGCCAAGCACTGGATCTTGATTAGGTCAGGTAGAATTAGCCTAAAAGAATACTTTATATTTAGAAAAAAGTTGTAGAGGGGTAATGTGTTCGTGAATGATGTCATTTGCAAATATTATTGATTTTGTGTGAACCCAATATATTTTACACTAAACCCTTCTGGTACCATCTAATTAGGCCATAGAAATTTAATTGTATGTCTCAAAGTTCTCCTGATTTCAAAAATCTAATGTGGTATGCAGGTTTTTTTAAAGTTGTTTTTTTTCTATATTTTTTTAATAAAAATATTTTTATGGTTCAAATGACCATGAACACCATGTTTGATGCTACCCAGAATAAACAACGCTGATACAAACTGCATTTCAGTCATGTCTTTAAGGGTCCGTTTACGAACTTTCGAAAACCGGATAACTCAAGCCTAAGGTGATAATTAATCATTCCTCAACTAGCTATAATTACTAAAACATCTGGACTTTCCGGGCTTATCCTTTCCGGATAAGTTTGGAGGGTTGGAGGCTGCGCGCAATAGCCCACAGCATGGTGTCAACTGACCTTACTTTTATGAGAAATCTATTCAGATTAAGCACTTGAGTCCGCAATCATCCATGCCTTCGTCCAGTGACATCGCTAGAGTAGTCCTCACTTTATAAATTATATTATCCAATTTTTTAGCCGGAATATTAAGTTTTTTAACAACGATATACCCCTATATACAATGGCTGCAGCTGAACAGAGTGGGTGGACTGATGAAGCAACCCAAACGTTAATTAGCATATGGGGAACGACATCCATAAAAGATGGTTTTGATGGAACCCGACGGAACAACGCCGTTTATAAAGAAATCTTATCTTATAAAGATGCGGGAAATGGGTTATAACTTTACGCACGCACAGATAGAATAACAAATGCAAGAACCTGCGCAAAAAAATACACCCAGGGAAAGGACTCANNNNGGGAAGTCACGAACCCCCCCCCCCCCCCAACAGAATGGCCATATTTTGAGATGATGAATGAAATTTTTGGCGATAGACCCATTTCTTTTCCACCACAAACTGTTGACACGCCGTTGTCAGCTCTGAACACCAGTGGAACTAGTAGTAGTAAGTCCGTAAGCTATTTTTTTTTTTCCTTTGTTTTTTTTGTAATTTTTTTTTTTTTTATTTTCCCGGTTGGCTAGGCTCTAGTTTCTAAGGCCTGGGTTTTTTTTATAAAATTGGTTGGAGTTCGAGCGTAGGCAAGGCGAGGCAATTCGTTGTTGAATTGCCTTGGGCTGAGGAAGGCTAAGCGGTGAAGTGTTTGTTTTGTTTACATGAAAGGCCTATACCTTACGGTCCGTATCCGAATAACTTGGGGTTCGTAAACGAGCGATCTAATGACCTACCCTCTGGGCATTATGTCATTTTTGACTTATCCGGTTTCGTTAAAAGTTCGTAAACACAACCTTATTCTTTATGTTTGCCTGACATCAATTAAAAACAATCTTGTATTCATTTACTGGAAGGAAATCCCATAGTATGTGATAGACAGTCTACTAGATTGATTTTTATTATTTTGCTTCATTGTGGTATGTGATAATTTCACATTTAGATTAGGCGAGACTTTTTAGTGAACCCACTGAACGCAAATATTGATGATTGCGAATAAAAATTTTATTTTTGGCCATTTAGCACACCTGCCACAACGAAAAAATGGGAAAAAAAGCTAGAAGTTTAACCCAAGACCAACATTCCACTCTCATGGTTGCACTGTCTGTCGCCAATCTCTCCAAGAATTGATAAAGATCATTAAAATTGGGCAGGAACATAGGTCAAATTAACATACATACCAGTTAAAAATAAATAAAAGTGTATAAAATTATGAGTTGCTTCTTCTCTTTTGAGTTCATTTAAGCCTTTTTGCAAGAGATGTGGTACAAGCTTCATTTTTCAATTATTATGAGGGGTGCATCCAGAGATGTCCAAAAGGGAGAGGGGGACAATCGATACAACACTGTGCTAGGGGGTGTTCTAGATGCCCGAAAATAACATTTGAGGTGTTCTGGGCTATAGTTTTTTTTTCTTTTTCTTTTTTTTTTACCTCCCAAAAGGAGCCGCCCCCCCCCCCCATAAATTTGCCTCTGATTATTTACCCAGTCAACCTCGCTCAAGTCGAACATTCGTCATTGTTTTACATTAAATACATCAAAATTACAAGCGGAATAAATATTCTCCGTACTATAAAATGAAAATTCCTTGTGCACTTTTGCTGAGTAATTAAAAATTGAAATGGTGTACTTGACTTAGCTGAGATTTCCTGACATAGAAATGCAACAGCATATCTGTATTTGATAAATTAGGATGCAAGTGCTATGCCATGGATTCGCGATACATGTCAGAAAACATTTATCATGAGATGTGGCCAGTAAAGTAGTATTCAAAAACATGAACAACATAGTTGAACATGCTTTTAAAATATCAAACAAAAACTTGTGTGCCGATATTTGAATTGGTTTAGAAACATGCTTTCAAAAAGTATTTCAGTGCATTTTACTGTGGTACGAAGCATATGTCATACAGTGATTAAAAGAAAATAGCCTTGAATGAATTCAAAAGATATGAAGCTGTTCATGGCTTTTTTTCTTGTAAAAAAGTGAAAAAGTCATCCTACTTGCAGTGTCTGTTGTAATGAACTTATTATTAATACTGTTTGAATAGTGATCGTATCAAAATGATTAACATGCAACAACAGGCTTAGTCAACTTGTAAAAATTCAAAACCTTCTGTTGACTTCTCATAGGTCGACCTTGGGAGCGTTTTACAGCTACACTTTAAAACATTTTCATCGTAATAAAACTGCTATAAATTGAACACAAACAACTTAAAACAAAATTTGTGTATGAACTCAAATAAATATTTACAATAGATTTTAGTGGTCCATTTAAAAGAATGGTATGATTTGTGAATGATAGTGTGTAATAGACATGCAAAACAAATATTAGCAGAGTTGTGTGACTACCGGAGACATGATAAAAACAATGTACACTATCTGTAAATATTGTTAATAACTTCGTAAGTACGCCAGTGGTTGTAATTAAAATGTTACATTTAATCCTAATTTCTATAGATAATGTTCCTGTGAAATTTCAAAAGGGTACGACAATTTGTTGCCAACTTGCAAACTCTATTTTTCTCACAGTGGAAAAGTTATGTTATATGGCATTGCAATGCGCAGAAATATCTACAAATGATGGAAATATAGTTTTCAACAAGACTTTTTGACGGATCCGTCTGCAGATATTGGGATTCCTTCCAGTGGATGCTTAGTTTATTTTGTCATTCTGATCGGATTTTCTCTACTGTTCCGTTTTAATTTTAAATAGTTTTGCATTATGTGGCCATTTGCTGTACACATCTAGATGTGTATAAGAGACAGTGTGAGCTTATATTTTTTGTTTCGATGTTTGGTTTTTACTATTGACTGTAGCATAGCCGTATTTCCATGGATCTTCTATACTTTGAATATTGTTTGTTAGGGTTGTTTATTTCTGCAGACTAGTAAATGCTTTGTCCACTACATTTGCATACTTGTTGTAGGCCTCTCCTTGTTATCTCATTTTATATTATAGATGTTTGTTATCCCATTTGTGCAGTCTCTGATGAAGTACACTGAGTGGATAAACGTTAGAGATTAAATTTTACATGTTACAGTAGTCTTAAAAGTGGTGCTGTCATTTCTTTTATATTTGTTCTATAGCAGACAAACGTGGCTACACATTTTATTCATTAGATAGTTATAGATTACTCTTGAATAGAATTATTAAACTTTACTGTATGTTGTTTTGTAAAATCTTGTTACAATATATTTTCTTTCATTCAGGGTGGAAAGATTGCTGTTAACAGCATATTGACTGCTATTGCTGTAATTGAGTTCATCACAGCTATTTTTGCCAGCTCTGTAATGTGTGGAGGAACCAACTGCTGTCGGGGCAGACCAAATACGACTGTTGTATGTTATTTTAAAGTTTCATTTTTTTTACGTCTTATAATAGTATTACTTTATTAAAAGTAGGCTCACACAAACTATTCTTCTCACTTCAAGTAATTCTTTTAGTAGAGCGTCTAAGATTGAATTTGAGGTGGAATCGTGCACCTCTGGAAGAAAGCATGAAACTTCCCACAGTGATACTATGACACCTAAAGATCTTTAAAAAAAATAGACCCAAAAAATAACGCCTCCTAATGGCCACCATCTTGAAATCCAATATGGCCGCCAAAATATTTGATTTTAGCCAATTTATTCATATCTACAGCACATGTCATTGCCAAATGAAGATCATTACCCATGTTTTCAATATCAGGGAGTGTCATGCAATCATCAGAAATTATGTCAGATGGCGCTGCCATATTAGATTTCAAGATGGCCGCCAGATTAATGATATTTTTATCAATATTCATATCTACAGTAAGCACTGTCAATCAAAGACCGTTGCTATGTTTTCGATATCAGGGACTACCATGCAGCCATCAGAAATTATGTCAGAAAACCACCATATTAAATTTTAAGATGGCTGCCATCTTGAAATTTAATATGGCTGCCAAAATAATTAATTTTAGCCTATGTATTCATATTTACAGCACATACAACTGAATCACTCCAACTGAAGATCATTACCCATGTTTTCAATATCAGGGAGTGTGTCACGAAAGTCTAGTGGAAACTGCCTTTTATGTGCCTGCGGGTTAGACAACTGAACAAAGTACAATGTACAAAACAATTTGAAATAACAATAATTTATTAAACAATTAACCCACGCAACGTGGGTACCATTCACACTGTAGAAGAGTCGCAACTCATCTACCAATAATCTATGAATGGATTTAACAAAATAAAGCAAAGATCTAATATTAAACACTTAACCCACACAACGTGGGTACCATTCGCACTGTAGAAGAGGCGCAACTCATCTACCAATAATCTATGAATGGATTTAACAAAATAAAGCCATGGCATAATAAATAAAAAAGGTTCTC